AAATAAAACTAACATAAGTTTAAGTGGTACTTTAGTATACTCAAAATTATAATGGGACTGAGCATGTAAATATGATGTTGTTTTCAGTCAAGGTGATTCCATAGGAGGCATAAATTCTTTTACGGCAGCGAGTATGATGAATTCATAATCTGCTGTATGAGAGATTTGAGCCTAAACTTACAACTTCTTGTGACAATAGTATAATTATTATTATTATTTGACCCAATAGTCACACGCTATCTGAGTTAATAAAGTTAGTTCAAAACAGGGACAAATAATCTTGTGGCGGTAAATAAATCTCCCAACTTAAATAACCCTGTAAGTTTTCGACATTGGATGCTGACCACATTAGTTTCAATGGACTCACTTAGATGAAGGCTCTCGGTCATGCATCTGCACCAGATCATGAGTGGGGACGCCATGCTCAACGACCACTGCAATCGCTATTTAGGTTAGACCAGACGATCCTCGATATATTGATAGCCTATCAAATATATGTTCGAACCTCCTCGCTTCTCTCTTTTGATTTCACTTGGTGGGTACGATTCATATTAGGTGTTACTGGTTAAAGCGTTGTGAAACTCCGAATACCCGTGGCATCTTCAATCTAAATTCCGAATAGTAAACATTGCAAATTGGAGACAATAATCAAATAAATCTTCAAAAACTTGGTTCTCATATAATATTTTTCTTCTGCATGTGATTTATATCTAGATTACTTAGTAATGAGGTTTTTGAAAATATTATTCTGATATTCAATCAAATAAACTTAAAGTTCCAAATTATTTGGGTAGTAATGCCATAAGCAGTGAGTCAGTGTAAAGTAATAAATCACTCGAACAAACATCAGAACAATTACCCACACTAGACCTCTGTTTCGGACTCAGTTTTTGAATGTGTTGTTCAAAGGAGTTGGTTGTAGTAAGATGCCTACTCTGTGACGGAGGAAATTTGTTGTCTTTGTCCACATGCAAAACTTCATAAGTGTTTACTAGCGAGGTAGTTGTGAAAGTGTGATTAGAATAAGAATTCACTGTTGTAGACAATATGTTAGCTTTCGAATGCACAAAACCTCTGGTAATAATTGGTATCAAATCTTTGTTGTATTTACTTAGATGTGTATAAATATTCCTTATATAAAGATTCTGTAACATCATTTATTTACTTTCCCCTGTTGAATCCCGAAATTTTGGAACGCTGGATTAAATTCCTTATGAACACTGATGTAAAGTAACATACCCACAGAGCAAGTAATCAAAACACAATAAATTGGTGACCGAATGGTGCAAATAGTATTTATTTTCTTTAACATATTAGAATGCTCTTGCTTAGTAAGTACTCTTATAAAAGAAAATTAGAATGAGTAGCGATACTTAAAATTTTTTTTCATGAACATTGGCTGCTCTACCTCTCACGCTTTTTTTACTTGTTCCTTTTTTCAGCCCCCTTGAGTTATGGACCGGGTGAATTCATTATGTACCATCCTTAATGCTTCAGATATTACAAAGAGATATAAGGTTGCGATTTCTAGAAGCTTCCACGTTCAATGGATCTATCCTTGACCATCAGTTGCACGTCGCGACGCAACTTTCATAAAGCGCACAACTGTGATACTGAATAAAACCATCTACATTCATATCTTATAAATTATCAACCCAGATGAGTAATTCACTATAGTGGATATTGTATCATTTGTAACAATTTGATATTGCCTTTGAACTAGCATGCCTCATGTAAAAAACTGTTATTTGAGAATAAACTATTATTATATTTAAACACGCATAAATGTATGATTCCTAAGACATTTTAACTCCCTTTATACCGTCGGCAAGTGTCCAAAATCATTGACAGATTAGTTCATCCTCCTCCAAAGGTGACGAGTTAGTTGCGAAACAGCGATTATTAAAAAATTAGAGATCGAAAATTTATATCTCATTTTAGCTCAGTACTGAAATAAAATTAGTGGTGTTAGTTTCTTTCAATAAACTCGTATCTTTCAATATGGAAACTACAAACATAGGCGTTTTGAGTAAAATGTCAAAACTCCGAGAAACATGCAAAGGCTTCTGATATATATATATATATATATATATATATATATATATATATATATTAATGAATATTAATAAACAGAAAGACCGCTCGGATCTTCCTCTTAATCTGAAGAACAAAACAAAAGGATATTGCAGTGAGATCTAAATAAGAAGCTCAAGATTACTTTTCAGAATTTACCAGCTTTAAAAAGGGAGTTTAGTATGTTCAAGAGTGGGATTTCATCAAATGGTAACATAAAACTAAAAGATATCTTGACTCAACAAGCTCTGCGTTCAACCCAGAAGTAATTGAGTGAGTGGCACGGTTGACAGAAGTAATTTTCACTTCATTTAAAGTGATGGATACCATTCTCGAGTCATTTCGTACTGATGGGAGCTGATAACCAGCTGAAATCAAGATCCATTCGAACAGGCTTTGAGATTATGAGACTTAAAACAGAAGAAATAGGAATCAATTATCTCACTTGTGAATAACTATGAACGAAGAACATGAGGGACAAAGACAAACTGGTCGGAAATCACTGTATAGCCATGTTTCGTGACTTCTTTCATAAGGCTACTACAGAAAAGAAAAACAAGGAGAAACATGTGATCCAAACAGAAGCACCTTAAATATGAACGCCACACGTTTATTCGGAAAAATGAATTGGTTATACTGATCATGAAGTAGAAATAACGCTCAGCTGATGGCGGTTACAAAAAATTGACAATTTCTTTATTCTGTAATGATAGTGTGAAAGTAAATGAGTCCCCATAATAAATACGTCTTCAAGTCTTCATCAGTGATGCTGGCCTCATTTGCTTTTCTGGACAAACTTCCGAGGACTGAGCTCAGCCAACCATCCGCAGCAGATCATGAGTCGGTACAATATGCTACTCATTTCGTGCGACATTTAGTCAGCTTAGACCAAACACATCTAAACACATCATCAACTTTCCAAACTTTTCTTCGAACCTATTCATTCGTGACTAATGATTCGAATAAATTGTTATCTTCCGGCTATTAATGTGTTACAGAACCTCGGCAACACACCAGGGATGCATTCAAGAGTTTGCTGGTTAAGAAGTGTGGTCGATGAATCTTCTCGCTACTCAGTAAGGTTTCTCTTCATCACAAAGTGTCTGATTTGAATTGTCTTCAAAAAGTCTGCTGCCGACACCTATTTTGAAAATTTGATACTGATGATTTAGCAGTTCTCTTAGATTAGTACGTACATATTAGTCTCTTAGATGATTTCAATCTTTCTTCAGCTTTAATGAGTATACAAACCGAAGGGACCTCTTTCAAAAGCTTCAAAGGTTTTGGTATTCTCGATTTATTTCAGCCATGAAATTATTTAATGTCCATCAATTGTTTATCATCGCTGTGGTATCGTTTAGGGAAAGGCAACTTTTAGGTAACTATGCTGCTGAGAGTGGTGTATGAATGGACAGTCATTCGTGATGTTATGAGTAGGGTATTTAAAATACACATTGATTTTTCAGGAGCTTTTGACAGGGTTGATCATACGTAACTTATCGCTTAGCTGAAAATTAAAGATATTGAGTTCCCGCCGGTCGGTAGGTTTACGTTACACCTAAATAATTGGTTCTTTAAGGACAGGATTGATGACCCATTGTCGCTAGTCACAGAGAACCTAGGGGGGCCCTGTAGGGTTCAGTAATGAGACGTTTCCTCTTTCGCTTTATATAAATGACGTTCTTCAGAAAATATATTCTAATATATTAATTTTTGCTGATGACTCTGAGCTTTAGATAAAGGTTCACAACCAGGATGATAACCCGGCAGTTCAGAATGATCAGACTTTGGTTTAAAGTTGAGCTAATGATAATGGATTTATTTAAAACTCTGTAAAGTGCAAAGAAGTTTATCTGAGACATTTGGGAGATATTTAAGTAAATTACTCACCGGTTATCTAAAACCTTTTCCTAACTGTGCTAAAAACACCTTGAGAGAAAATCGTACTCCGTCAAATTTAACGTTGCATTTGCGACGGTAGGACTTCTTATTGAATTTTTATTAGTTTTACTTGACTAGAATAAGAGTTTGGAAACAACGTTTTCTCTTAAACTCCAGAAGAGTAAGAACACTAAGAAGCGAATTCGTAGATGAACTATTAAAACGGCTCGGGGGAGGGTTGAATTCAAGTTTAATAAAGAGCCTAAAATCATAAGGTCTTTATTTACGAGAGTATAGGCGATTCAGTAGCGACTTTCTAAGCAACCTTTGACATCTAAAATACCCACTTAGGTACAGTCCCAACATAAACCCTTGCTCCAAACCTTCGGAACTTAGAGGAACTCTCAGCAAATCGGGATATATTATTCTCCATACGAATGGTTCGGTCTTGGAAAATTCTATTTGTTAAGGTGATCAAATCAACTTAACGGGTATCGTTCACGATGAAGGTTGGTGGATTCTTAAGGACTCTGGACAATATGCCACCCGAAGCCACTAATAATTTTCTGCTATGCACTTCACATACCCAGGTCCCTATCTGGAGGACTCGGAGATCTACTACCAGACACGGAAGCTCACTAGGTAAAGGCTTCATCTAGATCACTCACTACCACCTGATCGTTCGAACATCTGGGTACTGAAGATGCCACAGGTATTTGGGGTTTGAAAACGCTTTAACCCAACTGCCGGATCATTTGGCCAGGGCTCAGTGAAATTCCGATGGCCATGAAGTGCCTAATCATTAACTTAATTAAAATTATTTGTGTATACGAAATACTTTCTCACTGAGCTTACAAACACACTGAGTTTCACGCTTATTGTTGATTAGGATGTCGATCGGAATTTTTTTCATTTTGGTAACATGCACGGTTATTTTGGACATATTGGACATCGGAGGTGTATACATTAGGTGCACGCTACTTGCAGTTTCTGGTTTTGTTTGGTAAGTTGTTCGTATGGTCAGCTATCTGTCGTCTCTATTGTTCATGACCGGTGAACTCTATTACACTCCACGGTGGTTACAAACAGCAGCTGTAAATGTATTAAACGTATGTTTGCTCACCAATAATGGTCATTAATGAACAGTATACTGTATACAGTATACTAATTAATCATATATGATTAATTAGTCATCCTACTTTCGGAATTCATGTGATTCTAACGGCTCTGGGCGGAATAAGGAATCCTTCCACTAGCAATATATTATGTCTAGTAGTAGTAAATCACTGACACCCAGGTATGTTTGTAATATTGGTAGTTACCAATATTGTTGACAATAAGACTGGCTTTTGATCAACAAGTTATTGGTTAAATAGCTGTATCAATACTACTCATTGAGTGATTACGGTTAAACCTTCATCAGATTTGAAGTTTGCTTCTCATTGGGAACTTATTTCAACGGCAATTCCAGTCATCTGATTAAGTTGCATACTACGTATGAAAAAAAGCAGAAATATAGTTCTTAGTAAATTAGTATAATATGCTGTTCTGAGTATTTGAAGACACATCAAGCTTGCTGTCAGAAGACTAGAGACATGTTATTTGGTTCCCTTCGGTCGTGGGGAATTCCAAAACTCAAGTCATCATAAAGAGTGGGTGTGGATTAAGTTCAACTTGCCATGTTGTATATCTGATTTCCAAGTATTCCCTCCGGGGTTTGAAGTATGATTAAGCAAATGACTGTCTTATATGACGTGGAGAAGGGCTATCTCCTTGTGAGCTCACTTAGAGTTTATACTATATGTAAGGCCAATTGAAACGTTAAAATTAGTTGAAAACCTCTACCACTAAACTTTCCGAAAATGTGTCACCAGTGCCAGGCTGAATCTGAGTAGATATTTTCCACAGCATATGATGTAAATTGGTTGGGAACTAAAACTTCTAGATCTTTTTGACTAGCGTTTATTTCAGCGGAAAATAATTTAAGTTAATTCGGTTGTATTTGATGTTAGCATCGTGCTGCGGATAGACTATTCTGACTAGTTGGGAGTTGACCATCCGAATTTGAACTTGGATCAGATTGCTTAAGGCACTAATCTTTCCTTCTGGTTGTATACTTGTAAAAGCCCTACATAAGCAAAGGTAATATTTTAAATATGTACTAAGGATGGTTTATATAAACCAAAAAGGGCGAATTTATTAATTGGAAACAAATATTGGTACAACGAGCACCGAGTACATACGCACCACAGAGGTCGCTTGATTTGTGTGTGGGCTGTGACACTGTCCGAGTGCCCAGATCGAAGCAGGTGGTTTTCTTAGGGGGCCACATCTGGAGACTTCGACCTAAAGGTCTGGTCCACAAGGCAGTGGAGCAACGTCAGGACATGCAGTCTCATGGTGGCCGATGACCAATTAGCGTTTTATACGACGTTTGTTCCCTTAGGATCCTGAAGCCCATGTGCACCATTGGCTTAGGCTCAGGGTTTTTCAACTCCTAGGTGAATCTCCCATACCCACCAACCCGGTTAAAGCGCCGTATATTCGCTTTTTGTCCTCTCAATTTCGTAAACAACAGTAATGCCGTGAGAAGTCAGTGAGTAGGACTTCCCTGGCAGTGGCTGTATACACCTGGCTATGTGAGAGCATTTCGAGTGGGAGAGCCAACTTTCCCCACCGTCGGGTACTTGGGGGCAAAGGTCCTAGCATTTGACACTAATGGGAGCACGGGGGTTTCATGCAGTCCTAGGTTATCAAATAAAAATTCTTCATAAGTGAAGGTGAATTTTAAGCGCTACAATCCCTGGCTCTTTCTCAGAAAAGTTCCTTACTTCAAATAATCGTAGTTCTATAGGGTTAGAAATTCGAGCTTCGATGGATTTATCCTCTACATTGTAAGTTCATTGTAGTCGAATAAAGATTACAACCATCTGGGAGACCAATATGTACATTCTTATCTAAGAGAACTGCTAAATCATCAGTATCAAATTTTCAAAATGGGTGTCGGCAGCAGACTTTTTGAAGACAATTCAAATCAGACACTTTGTGATGAAGAGAAACCTTACTGAGCAACAAGAAGATCCACGGACCCCACTTCCTAACCCGTTTTTCCTCATTCTGAAATAAAAGCCTATCGGATAAACACTACATGTTATTTCCCAACCCATCTATTTTGTTGGGTAGATCGGCAGCGTTCGTACTCGAGGAGTCGATATCTCCCCTTTGAAATACATGTATAACCATAACCTCTTCGTGTGACTTAGCCCTATTTAAGTGGGCAGGGAACTTATATATACAAGGCTTTCTAATTGAGTTTTCTCTTTGGTATTTCAGAATCTTAAATTGATCTCTGTAGAACTATCACAGGGAAGCTAATTGGTAAGTCGTCCTCCATTCCTCCATTATTGTTTGTGTTCGTTTTTTAAAGCTAGGATGTTTCTGGATTATTACTTATCTATACTTAAATACAAACTGGGTTGGCACAGAACCAAGATTATTAGGTCATTTGATTATTTTGAAGATGCCGTGTGATAGATACACAGTTTTGTAGTCCATAGAGTTTAAAAGCATGTTCTTATGTCACAGTTCTATAGCGTTTTGTTTTTTCTTAAGGCATGAATACACCATTCGTCTGCAGTACGTTTTAGTGTCTTTTTCAACCCCCCTGATTTTATAGACTAATATTATGCATTGATTTGGTCACTCAGTCGTCGTCTAGCATGCTCTTATGCCAGTTAACATTGGACATAGAGATAGCATGTGACTGAGATGGATGTTGTACTTGCATCACCCCATAAGTCGTCTATGAAAGCTTATAGCTTCAACAAATTTACTATCTTTTATATCTTTCACAATATGCATTAATGATTTGGGTATTTCATTATCAACAGTCTCGACAGCGTCGACACATATTTTATCCCTCATGTATGAATATCTAGCTGATAATGATTAGATGCTCGAAAATTAGTTTCTAGTGACTGCCAATATGAATAACAAAAGGGATTTAAACCGTAGGCTAATAGGTAGTGTACATAATATGTCAGTGGCGCAGCTGGATTCAACTCTATCGTCCTATCGGTTATTGCAATTATTCCTTTGTAAAAAACCTTCCCATTCTGTCTTTTCGAACTATATTTCTGGTGTTTAGGCTTTCTCATTATCATTGCTGGTATATTATTTCGATCTTTTGTTATTCATATTGTTTGTGTGATATGGTTGCTTGGGCCAGTGTAATTCTTGTTGGGCTGTACGTTGATGATGGCCGATTGATAATCATTAAGCAATTGAATCGTTAAAGAAACAGCATCCGGATATGATAATAATAATAAAAAACAAAATAAATTCGTTCACCAGGTACTTGAGTATAAGCGACACTCCAAGTGTAAGGGTTAGCGATATTATCCGGTTTCCCAAACCGAAGTGGGTGAGGTGGAATTCGAAGCTTAGGTTTAGTGCTTTAAAATCGAGCTCTGTTAAAGTTTGTCAGGAATATCATTCATAGTTAATAGTTAGCTAGACTGCTATGGAACTAGATAGTTAGGTGTTCTGCTGGGTCAGGTAACCGGAGCTAATGACAGTTGAACTAGTAAATGATTGCGGTGTAGTTGCTCACTGTTAACAAACCACAAAGACATTCCTGTCGTGGTTCTTTTTTTAACGACATTATGGGTCTTGTAAATAACTTGAGGTGAAAGAAGACTACTGGCCATTCCTCTAGGAATGGCAGTGTGAGACTGGATATTGTAATTTGAGGTCTGAACGTAATTCCATTGGACTGGTGTTTTGATCTCCGATCATCTCGGTTTCTGCAAGGAAATCCCCTTGTGGCAAGTGTAGAGGATTCAACTTGAATAACAAGGTCTCAAGGTTTCCATGATAATTCAATGCTTAATCGATGCTCGGTTAAAGCAAATAGTAGAAAAGCACATTTCAAATGTAATTATAATCTTACTAATCGAAATCGTTGCTCTTCCCCTCATCCTTCATTACTGGTATGATTGGATACAAATAAAACATCTTAGTAACCTATGTCGGCTGTTTACTGCATATATCAATTGGTCGTGATTTCGTTAAGTTTTTTTCACCTGTCTGAAATAAATATGGCAACCTAAACCTGCTACGTAATTTGACTTGATATTTGACTCGTTTTTGTTGTTTTTTACTAATCATTCTTGTTATAACTTGTGGCCTGAGTGCCCTATTAATGTATAACGTGATAATACCGTCAATTAGAAAGCAGTGAATTATCGATCGGACCAGTGACACATAAAACCCGTACGAGCAGTCTAGAGTCCTTATTGGTCCTGCTTTCCGCCTGGTCCATCCAGTTAAGTCCAGAACACCAATCTCAGCCTTTGCAATATTAATCATTTATTTCAAACGTACGGGGCTTATATACCAACCAAACGGATCACATCGTATCATAAAATAGGGAAGAACATTTGTACAATATTTAACCAAATGTGGCTGTGAGTAAGGGCGATAGTAATTGGTAGACACGGCATAATTCAAGAATGGTAAGTCCTATAATAGTTCATAGGTTAAAATAAAGCTCATAATAAGAGGGACATGAATATGAATAGTTTAATTATTTAACAATTATACTGTAAAAATATACACATATTATTGGTCCATAAATGGATCCCAAAAGTTACCATTCATTATTCTTATCGAGTTGTAAAAATTCTTCCCACCTAATATGGACTTCAATTTCATCAAATGTACTTATCTACATTTTATTATTTTCAGCTCCCAACTTGGATGGCAGATAGACTTACTGAGTTACAAGACGCAATTAATTTACAAGCTGAAAATTTGTGCAACGCAATCGGTGTAATACAACAAGTCGCTCAGCCCAGTTTCTTTTCTGACTTTAATTGGGCTTCTAGGTCTGCCAAACCAGAATACCAGGCATTTATCCAAGCCCAACCAACTGACGGTTAGTGTATATATGTGACTATTATCCAGTGTTATTATTAGTATTCAGAAAACAAATTCTTCAAATACAGTGAACGTAGGCCAAAAATAAAACCAAGATATAGGATAACGTAAGCGTCCGGCACTGGTCTGCACATAGATTTAAACATGCTAGTTTATTTTGAACTTGTTTCATAGTTCAGTAGTTACTGTGAGTATTCATTGTACTGAAGTCAACATTATCTTTGCCTTGGTTCTGTTGTTTTAAGTTACAGTACAAGCCTACTCCATTGATTTGAGTACACTTGTGATGTGTGCTACTGATGTCAACAAATATAAGTAGTACATATCATCAGTCGAAAGTGAAATGTCTGGCGGCAGAAGGCTAAAAAGATTAAAGGAAAGAGAACAAAGAATGGTTGGTGTAGAAACGACAGGACAATGAAGTCTGAGACAAAAGGAACAATCAAGTTTTAAACAATTGATTGGCATTTTGCAAATTAATTATTTACTGTATGGTTCTCATATTTTACTAAGATTTTTTGTAATTTTGTGTACAATTGTTCAATTGTCCCCACTTGTATTTTTGTTCACTAGACATTCAGTAAAGTAAATACTTTCTTCATTCTCATCGTTAGCTTTTGATGTTTAGTTTCGAATTTCACACATTTAGTACTCTTATCTTTCAGTTATTGCATATTATTAGTTCTAACTAGCAATCCCCTTATGACATAGTTTCCCGGCGGCATAGAAATCTCATACCAACTTTTGACAAAGTGACAGTTTTTAATAATTTCTGGAAGATACGTGTACATTCTGAACGTTTGGAAACCACACAAAAGACAGCATCGTTATAGGGAAATGGTAACTGCACAAATTAGTGTTTATATGATAAAGAACAAATAGTATGACATTATTAACATGTATTTACTGAAACATGATACTGTTTTTTGTAACATCTTGGCTGTTCATTTGTTTGTTTATGGTCTTAGATTTTTTTAGTGTTTCAGATGTTCCCAAGACTAATGCATACCCATGATCACCGGAATTACCTGGTCCAAGCCCTTATAAAATGCAGTAGTTGGTATAACGGTTCTCATACAGCCAAAAGGTACTTTGTTTACTAGGGGAGCATGCACAGTAGCGTAAATAGCGAGCTAGGGAAGAGAAGTACAAAATAATAAATGAGTCGACAACCCAGAATGCGCACACAATGCACTTATATTTATTAAGGAAAGCAGTAGATCACAATCAGCTATAAAACAAATCTCAAATTAAGACAATCTTGAAGCCGAAACTAAGGGTAAATAGTTTAACCTAATATATGGGTTTTTAAACCCGTGTAATTCTTTAGTTTGTGTAGTAAGACGACCATCTTTATTAGCAATTTAGAACTTTGTATTTACTTCAGCAACTATGCCTAAGTCCTGGATAGTAACTCTTATTGTCCTGTTAATAAACTTATTCAGACATTCCACAAAATGCTTTGATTGATTCAGTATTTTTGTTGGCTTTAGATATTGCTCGGAGTTTTGCTGTTGCAATTTCCGCTACTGCAAAGCAACTGGATGCATTGATTGGAGCTCTGCCTGAAGAAGAAGCCAGTGCAGATATTCAACGTGCTACTGTTCACAAACTTTTAGAAGCTTATAGATCTGAAGGAGCGAAACTTGCGCGTATCACAACTAAACTTGAGTCAAGGTTGGCTGAAGTACGTCGCTGCTTAACAGCTATTGCTCAAACACAACTCACTACCCAATCACTAGAATCAGAGGTATTTTTAGTCTCTAATATCTCACATTTGATGGGTTGCTAGTTTGTCATTCATTTAGTTTCATTGTTACTACCAGCACGATCGTTGTTTTTCGTAGTTCTAATGATAAATCATCAGTTCTTTATGTCATGAATTTATCGAAGTAATACTCTGTACATTACAGTTTAACTAAATATATACAATAGGTATTTAAGATTCACCTATGCTCCTAGTAACTACGTTCCCCGTATATTTATCACAAATTCTCGTATAAGTTAGACCCTCTCATTCTCATACACCTTTGATAAAAAGGTAGATCTGTCTGGAATTTAAGTTCTTCCACATTGGAAAACATAAGTCTTTGCTCCACCAACTGATTTGCTATAAATATCTTAGGTTCTCAAATATTAAGCACCACAATAGGGAAAATGTAAAAGTATGAAACACGCTTTTCAAAACAAACCTTCAAAATGTCATATAGATGTACTTAACTCGTTCTAGCACATAAAAAATGAAGTCAGTGTGTTGCTGTCGTTCGTTCAACTAAGGATTTTTGATGATAGTGATTCGAGATTAGGGTGTTATTATGATGACAATAATAATAGTAATTGTAATAATCATAAATGCTTCTTATTTCAGGTTGAGTCCCAATATGCGATAAATAAAACATAGTTACTTTTAGTATAGAGGGATTTGTGGAGATTATAGAATTCTCATAGTTCAAATCACGAACTAGTCTAAACTAGACCAACTCTAAAGATCTAGAATCATTGGGCAGTCATTTTGTCTTAGTATGGTACTCCGCATCTACGGGCCCACAGCCAAGAACCGGACACAGGACCTTCGGTCTCACTCGTGAACACAACCTCTATACCACTAAGTCGGGAATAATGATGTTCATCTAACCTCACGATATTTTGCGATCGTCATGCTTTGCCTGCGGTGAATTCTGGCTTTGTGGCCTAGAAGTTAAGGATTCGTGTGTGAGACTAAAGATCATGTATTCAATCCTGTGGTGGAGTCTTGAATGTTCACTGATGTGGAGTGTCATATTAAGAAAAAACGACCGTTCAGGTCTTCAGCGGTGGTCTAGTCATGATCAGTTTGTGATTTAAACTATGAATATAAGCATTTGATTCACTATAGCAAAATGTTCACTCGGTTACTTTCTATTCGTTGTACGGTTTATGCTTGTTATGTTGAATATCTCGCTAAATTTCAATCGATCTTACGTACTTATAGGGACCATCTAGTAAGTAATGCAGTTGTTAGGAAACGGGTACTAGGTAAGGATGGCAAACCAATTGATGAAGTGGTGAAACTTCGTCAGTTGAGATGGCTGAGACACGTTACGTATGCCCAACGACCGACTGCCTCGATGTGCGATGTTCAGTGGTATAGGAGTAGGTTGGAAGAAAGCTAGGGGCGGCCAGACCAAAACATGGCACAAGTCCATGAAGTCACTGACAAGTGGTCTGAGTCATGTCGGTAGGTGTAGACTACCTAGTTGGGAACCACAAGAGGATAGCAACCGATGGTTAGAGACCCTGAATGACATGGCTCAAAATCGTTTGCAATGGCGCAGATGCATACACTCTTTGTGTTTTCCCAAATTTTGATCTCCTTATTCCTCCTTGTCTATTTTTTTTCTCCTCCCAAATTTATTTCACTGTATTATACTCTTTAAGTAACATCTCCAAACACTAATCTTTCCGATTACTGCTTATACTCTTATTACCTATACCACTACGGGATTTGAATCGACCACTGCATCTCTGTGCTAATGTTGTGTGGCAACTCGAACTGATGTACGTACATACGAAGTTCTACGTTGTTACTGACTGATTGACTTATAGGTTGCTGTTCTCTTTACTTGTTTTTGGATTATGATTGGTTGAGTGGAAATTATATCTATAGGTTATTTGAGCTGTGGTAATTTACTTACCATACCAAGAAACTAGTGTTCTCGCTTAGCTACAGTAAATCATCAATGTTGTGACCTGATAGTGGAAAATAAGTTGTGGCACAACCAAAGTTTCAAAGATTTATACATGCACAAAGTGAATAGGATTTTTGGAAGGTGGAAATCAAAGTTACCAAAATAATAGTAATGTCAATTAACAATAAGGAACTACTAAGCATAAAGAGTAATTTGAAAAAACCTCGAAGGTAGTGGATAAATCGATTGAATATCAAAACAAAATCGCAAGAAAGTATATTAATGAATAGATCCGCTCCATTATAACCGATATTGTTGAATAAATATTTTAAAGTATTTCGCTATTTCCCATTTAATATAGTTAATAAACTATTTTAATAATAAGTTTATATTCTAATATGGTTATAGTCGGTTAAATAGATAAGTGCTTTTGAATTGTTTGAAATGCTATGATGCTTGGTGTAGAAAAATATGTGATTATTGTTATATCTGGACGAAGAATAATGATTAGTAAGTGTTAGGATCTATGTATGGACCGTCGTTACATGTATTATTGTATAACCATTAAGTAACTACATTATCTGTATATTCATGTTCTCTTTATTATAAGCTTCCGTTTAACCTATTGACTACTATTATATGATATACTATTCCAGAGTTATTTCCAAGTTACTAGCTACAGTCTCCCATAGCCACTTTTTAGCCTGATTTTGTGTAATTATTATTTTCGATTTTATGTTATGATACTATCTGATTTGTTTGTTTATAAACTGCGTATGTCTGAAATACCTAATTGATATAGAGGGGACTGGTATTGGTGTTCTGGACTGAACCGGCTGGGTTTAGGCGAGAAGCTACTGTTTCGGAGGAATAAAAAGAACTCTAGGCCACTCGAACAAGTTTATGCGTGATTAGTCTCATCGTATAGATCGGTGTCTAATTGGCTATCGTATCACGTGATATGTTAACAAGGTCACAAGTCATAACAATTATGATAGATGAAGAAGTCAAGCCACTTGCAATGCTTTTAGGTGTCTTACTCAGGCTAAATCTATATATAATGACAGTTAGATTATGAAATAATACTGAGTAATTGGAAGAAGTAGGATTATAATAATCAGCGTAATTATTCGGAAAATCAAACAGTTGCTACATTGCATAATATATAGACAGAACAAACAAAATATTTTGATGAAAAGTCAGTATTATTGTAGTTATGTAAGAATCGCTAATAATAGTTGAAAATATGTAAAATACAAAAGTGGAAGAAATGAGAAAGTAATTTAAATATTTTTAAAGGAAAGGGTTCAATGAAAGTCGAGCCAAAAACTCACTCATATACAGATGGCAAAGGTAGCGAGAGTGGTTGTACAAACTTATTTTAGATGCAAAGGTTACGGTTGTGAAAATCGATTCCAATTGCTTCAGCAATGTGCAGAAAACGAACTCACAAACCACGTGATAAATTTGATGGGATATGCTGGATAACTTTAAAAACTTTATTCAACTCAACTTGATGACCTTTGTCCACCAAGCGAGTGAGGATAGACCTCTTAATCACTTTCACCTGTCCTTTGCTTGTCAGTTAACTTTTATTTACTGGTTATTGTAAGTTACTATCCTGGTCGGTGACCTATGCTCCACGAGGAGTAGCAGGCCTAAGGAAGTAATAAGAGGAAACTATTAAATTAAATGGAACTGTAGCTTCTCAAATTTTCTCCAAATATGTTCACAAGTTGGCTGTCCCCTTTTCAACTGTGAAATAAAAGGAAATGGATTTCACTTATGATGGGTTGTTTTTTTAGAAAGTTGTAATATTTGTAATCCATGTGAATTATATCCAATGTTGTTGGGATATTCAGGAAAATATCCCAGAAATTATTCTATTAAGTCTAATGCTATTCTTGGACTTGGAGATGGTATCATTTTCTTATTGGTCAGTACTTATTTCACGTGTCATTTCCCTACTGGTCAATATTGTACAATGTTATTTTCTATTTTATTGTACGATGTGATCTGCTTGATTAGTAAATAAACAGAGTGTGTTTGAAATATAATGATTCATATATCCGAGGCTGAAACTTGTGTTCTGGACTCAACTGGCTGGGCTAGACAGGGAAGCGGGATCAATCAGAACCCTAGGCCGTTCTACGTGTTTGCGCGTCTTTGGTCCGATCGATAATTCGCTACCCTCTAATCTGCTGCCGTCACAGTTATAGCAAATGTATATTTGTCTCAAAACTTAATACAACTAAGTTATCAATTCACAATGCTACATTAGGTTCAGTCTTCGTTATGTATAAGTATATAAAACAAATTTAAGACTCATTATACTGAACAACAAAGACATATGACTCGCTGCCTTGTTAAATTAACTGAATAATACAAAAATATTTCCTTAAATACCCAGAACTTCATTCATTCATTGTTATTGAATTTGTAAAATGGTTTTGGTTCCGTTACATTAATGCTAATTTTCTTCGTATCCATTTAATGTTTATCACTTTTTGCGTATATCATCAGAACTATATAACTCAATGCGTATGTAATTACTTAACTCTCGAGTCACACGCTTAACAACTCATACTTTTCTACGTTAATTTGTAATTCAACGCATTACCCAAAATCCAATTTGTTACTGATAAAGTGAAAACTTTTTATGTATAGTAAAGTTATGTAAGGGCTTAAATACTGATTTATCTATCGATTTATCATAATTTTTCGTTGAGTACACTTTTTTTGTTTTACTGAAATATGCTTAAGATATAAAAAATATAAGTAACTCACTTCTCTATTTGGTAACTTTGTTAATATATAGGTTTTATTTATTTATCATTTCAACAGGTGTATAGAGAATTTTATGGAAACTAATCCTAATCTGTCGTTAAACAACGACTCAAGTTATGAGGCTCCTGAATACATATATTCATCACCACCATCGTCTATTTCCTGGCTCACCTATTTAACTGTTATATTCCTTTTTATTTTGTTCTTTCGACTATGCTTTACATTCGGTATCGTGGATAGATTACATGCTCTTGTTAATTTTATTTTGGCAATATCCACACCATCTGGTCGTAAACGTCGAGCACTACGTGCTAAGTGTGTTGAAGATCTAGGAAATTTACGAACTCAATTGAAAAGTGTACATATGGTGGATGAGTTTGCTACTTATTCGAAACTAGAACGAAAGATAAAACTATTGGAACGTCAGTTGGACTCCTTGGCCCCTGAAACTCTTGTTGGATCAGTAAGTTTTTTGTTTCAATAATTTTCTGAAGTTTGCTTACTATTCGTACAGTCATTATAAGGCAAATACAATACAATACAGTAGGTTAATGAGAAATCGCCAAATCTCAAATGCGATTAGCCAAGAAATGGCTTTCTTTTTCAAGGGATGAGAAAATCCACTGATAGGCTTAATTTCCTAAGGGATAAGCACATATATAAATAAATACGTTCACGTACAGTCGATTAGCCTTAGCGAAATAAATGTTCTTCACTCTCAGTATTTTCTCTCGAGCAACCAGGTTCATGTGTTTAGAAGTATGTATCTCAGGATCAACTCTCGAACATTATGCATCACAACCCCGACTGTTGTTGCTACCTTGACGTGGTGGTCGGGCTTGCCTATCGTGATGAAGCAACCGAGCTATACTGGCCGGAACAACCGTTCCTCAAGGTCCTACCATGTCAGACAGCTCGGTTGAAGAGTGGTAAGACTAAAATCAACAAACCTAAGGTCCGAAGGCGAAGTCGTACTGCTGACTGTACAGAGGCGTGACAGCAGTAAGGTGTTTCCTTCAGACAACCAGCATGACAGCGATGCTGCCTTCCCACAAGGAGGGGTGGGGTTAGAAAAGGTCGACCCTAAAAATGCACACCTCACCTTACCTCACGGATTTCCGTCTCCGGCGGTAAGGCTCTTTGAAGAACGGAGCTAACACGTCAAAAACCTTCCACGAAGAGGCCGTGCGCGACCGGCCTCAGGCAGTTGTCCCTTGGGCACTGCGGTCACGCTCTCAGGTCGCTGAGACCGCCTCTAATCCAATTTCCTTTTCAGGTACCTCCAGAAGAACCCTTCCACGGTGTGGGCAACCGGGAAGTGATAACCGCCCTCATACCTCTAACAGCACCCAAGACCACTGTATTCATAATCAACCTTCCTCTTCAATTCCTATTATTCCTCCTACATCGACTTTCAGCCCTAAACTTCCTCCTTCGGCTTCTTCCTCAAGTGTCACCATAGCCAACGATTCTAGTGCTCAAAACTCTGTCCCAGCTCTACTGAAACCTCGCTCCAAACTACACATTGGAGCTTTCAACGTACGCACTCTATGTCAAATCGGTCAGCAGGCTTTCTTGGCTAAAACCCTAGAGTCTCTTTCCATTGATGTATGCTGTGTCTCCGAAACACGCATACAGGATTCCAGTGTGGTCATTCACTTGACCTCACCTCGGCAAAACGGAGAGCCAACGAGATACACCCTCCGTGTATCTGGTGACCCGATGGCCAGTTCTCGTGGACTGGCATGTGTAGGCATAGCACTAAGCATGAGGGCGGAACAAACACTGCTAGAGTGGATCCCCGTCAACAGTCGTCTATGTGCTGTTCGGCTAAACGGTTCCGTAAGAACTCGGAAGGATAGGGACACACGTCGTTGCCTTTTTGTCGTTTCTGCCTACGCTCCCACTGACTGCAGCTCAGATAATGTGAAAGATGAATTTTACAGAAAGCTTTCTGAACTCCTTCAGAAAGCTAAACGCTCAGACATAGTACTCGTAGGGGGTGACTTTAATGCTCAGATAGGTAGCTTAAACCAAACAGAAAGGCATTTAGGTGGATATTTTAGCATTCCGGCACAGCGAACAGATAATGGTGACCGTCTGCTGCAACTGTGCTCAGACAATCGCTTATTTTTAGCAAACACAAATTTTAAGCATGAGGAGAGACATCGTCTAACATGGCGACCCCCTACACCAAACCAACGATGGACTCAAATAGACCATATTGCCATCAGTCATCGTTGGAGAGGGTCGGTAGAAGATTGTCGCTCATTCTGGAGTACCTGCTTGGACTCCGACCACGCCGTAATACGGGCACGCATCTGCTTGCGCCTCACTGGACGCATAAAAGCCACATTAAAAAGACCCATTAGAACTGAGTTGAGTAACGAGAAAACCAAAAATAGGTTCCAAGAACAACTGAGTTCACACTTAGGTAGTTCTGAAGACGAGGCTGACCCAGATGTTGCTTGGAAAGACATACAAGCAGCTGTGGAAGCAGCAGTGACATCTATTAGCAACTTAAACCACAGAGTTTCAAAGAAGCAGTGGATTTCTTCAAAGTCTATCACACTGATGGATTCTCGCAAACTCGTCCCATCAGGTTCCGAACATGATGAAGAGCGACAACAAATCAGATCTAGATTAAGAAAAAGTCTAAGAAACGACCGTGAGCAGTGGTGGGCAACGAAAGCAAAAGAGGTGGAAAAGGCGGCGACTATAGGGAACACAAGACAGCTTTACAGACTAGTAAAAGAAACTGGAATTAATAAGTCAAGTGTAAGTGAGATTATATCGGGAAAAGACGATACACTCATCTGCTCCCAGTCCAGGCGTTTAGAACGATGGGCGGAACATTTCAGAGAACAGTTCAGCTGGCCTTCAGCTACTCTACAACTACCCTCCATTCCCAGACAGCGTGAATGGAACATTGAAGTAGGTCCCCCAACTCTTGCTGAAGTTCAAAAGGCTATAGATAATCTGAAACGAGGAAGGGCTGCTGGTCCAGATGGACTGGCTCCAGAAGTCATTAAGGATGGTGGTCCAATTTTAGCGGTTAGGTTGACTAATATTTTAGCTAAGATCTGGGAGTTAGACGTTATTCCATCTGACTGGTCACAATCACTTATCGTCCCAGTATATAAGAAAGGGTCAAAATCATCCTGTGACAACCAGAAGGATTAGTTTAACTAATATAATATATAAAATACTAGCCTCAATAATAATCAGACGCCTAACTAAGACTCGTGAACTGCAAACACGAAAAAAATCAAGCTGGCTTCAGACCTGGCCGTGGCTGCATCGACCACATATTCACCATTCGTCAGGTTCTAGAACACAGGCATACTTATCGGCGTCCGACGATGGTGGTCTTTCTTGACTTAAAAGCAGCATTTGACTCTGTAGATCGCGAGATTCTGTGGCAGTGTCTGTCATTGAAAGGCGTACCCCAGAAGTACATAAACCTTGTAAAGGCTCTTTACTCGAACACTACTAGTCGAGTCAGAGCTTATGGCGAACTGTCATCTAGTTTTGCAACCTCAAGTGGTGTCCGTCAAGGCTGTCCACTTTCTCCATTTCTGTTTAACTTCATCATAGACCTACTGATGGAAATAACATTCTCGTCGACTGAATTCTCAGGTATTGATCTCCTTCCAGGAGGTCCATTTATCGACTTAGAATACGCAGATGATATAGTCCTGTTCGGTGAAGACGCCGACAAAATGCAAAGTCTTCTGGTATCACTGAGCAACAATGCCAGGATGTTTGGAATGCGCTTCTCTCCCTCTAAATGCAAGTTGTTGCTTCAGGGCTGGCCTGCGTCAACACCTGAACTAAGGATAGGGAGTGAAGTGGTCGAACGCGTCGACAACTTCACTTATCTTGGAAGTCTGATCAGCCCTAATGGGTTGGTATCGGACGAAATCTCAGCACGGATTTGAAAAGCTCGTTTGGCTTTTGCCAACTTACATCATCTGTGGCGAAGGCGAGATATCCATCTATCAATAAAAGGACGAGTATACTGCGCGGCAGTCCGTTCTGTCTTACTTTACGGCAGCGAAACATGGCCTTTAAGAATAGAAGATACCCGTAAGCTACTAGTATTTGACCACAGATGCCTTAGAAATATTGCTGGCGTCTGCTGGGATCACCGGGTAAGTAATAGTGAGGTTAGACGCAGGCTATTAGGAAATGATGGTAAATCAGTTGATGAGGTTATGAATCTTCATCGACTGAGATGGTTGGGCCACGTGTTACGTATGCCTGTACACCGATTACCACGACGTGCAATGCTATCCGGTATTGGAAATGGTTGGAAGAAAGTTAGGGGCGGCCAAACCAAAACGTGGCATCAGTGCTTGAAGTCACTAACTTCTAGTCTGAGCCATGTTGGTAGATGCAGACTACTTGGTTGGGGTCCGCGTGACTATCGTTACCAATGGTTGAAGACTCTTGGTGACATGGCTCAGAATCGATCACAATGGCGTCGGTGTATACACTCCCTGTCTTCCCTTAAACTATGAGATTAAAATCGCTTCATATCTTTCTTTCTACGAACCAATTCTTTCTTCTTGTACTATATCTCTATATGCAATCTTCTCTTATTTATTACCACCTTTTACCTAACCACTGTTATGAATCCGGTGTTCATCTTGTTATGCTGATGTGGTATGGCAACCTGGACCGATGCACACATGTGCCTGGTCCTACGTTGTAGCTGACTGACTGACTGCATCACAACATAATTCACTGAGCATGCACTACGGTTTTTTAGATAGTTTTCGTGACTGTTATGAGTACTTTAACATTGTTTGGTGCTTTTAAATGTAGAATATCCGGAAATGTCACGTTCAATAGACCCCAGAATAGGATATTATGAGATATTGTTAAGAAGTGATGGTGTTAAATCAACTTATTTGACTAAACCGATTTCGATTCACTGTTTAAATTTTGGTATATATACAGGGTTCATAATTTATTGGGTCAGTCAGTCAGTCAGTAACAACGTAGAACTTTGTACGTACGTACATCAGTTCGAGTTGCCACACAACATTAGCACAGAGATGTAGTGGTCGATTCAAATCCTACCCCTAGCTTTCTTCCAACCTACTCCTATACCACTGAACATCGCACATCGAGGCAGTCGGTCGTTGGGCATACGTAACACGTGTCCCAGCCATCTCAACTGATGAAGTTTCACCACTTCATTAATTGATTTGCCATCCTTACCTAGTATCCGTTTCCTAACAACTGCATTACTTACTCGAAGCGATCGACACGCTGAATTACTTCACTCCCTATCATTAGTTCGGGTGTCAATGAAACCCAATCCTGAAGCAACATTTTGCATTTCGAGGGAGAGAATCGCATCCCAAACATGCTTGCATTGTTGCTTAGAGTGGTCAGAAGACTCTGCATTTTGTCAGCGTTTTCACCAAATAAAACTATGTCATCAGCATATTC